TCTGCTCGCACATTATTAAGACCTTCGAAACTCCTCGTCCCTACAGCCTTCTTTTCTTAAAATTGAACCAAATATATAGAATATTTGCCCTTCAAAATAGTTAATATATTTTTGGGGCTAAACTTAAAGACATAAATGAAGTATTTTTAAATACTTAACAAAAGCTTTATACGCCTAGTCACCATCGAATTCCCAATATATTTGTTCAATTCAAAATCCTAATAGTTTTTACAAATATTTCAAATTAAACAGTTTAAAGGTATAAAAATTTCAAGATTTTGTAAATCAAATATAATACTTGAGATATGTGAATGTACTTGTAGGCTTGTATGAGTGAAAGTTTGGGTATTTTATTGTGTATATTTAAGAACATCTATATAAATGAGTTTTCAAGGGAATTTACATAGTTTTGTCTTCCTCCTCAAGTTGTGTATGTTTTAGAACATTTAAATTAACATTTCACACAAGCTGTGTATTTTAAACATTATTTTAGGGAACATTTATATATTTTAAACTTAGCTCTATACTTTTCCACATAAGGGGCCAAAGTTGACAAGACTAACATTTTATAGATATTCAATTGTCAAATTTCAAATGGATTTCAAATATAAATATTTTAAATGCCCAAAATCCTAGATAATGGACATGTTGAATGAAAATATCAACATGAGGGGTTAACTTATAAATTAAAATTTTCAAATCAACAACTCACAACAAACCAATCAAAATTAATCACAAAAAATTTAAAACAAATGTCATTCAACTCCACAATAGTTTATCGGGAGTGATAAAATTTTGATTTACTTTATCTCATAAAGAGCGAATTTCACATTGAGTGTGCGACTATATTCACACTCAAAGACCAAAACAATCTCATGCCAGTAAGGACACGGCCCGAGTCTGTCCGGTGATTTGATCCAAAAGCTACACAAAAAGTAACAGTTACGAACATAACCATCTAATTAAGTGGTTGTCATCAAATGACACCATTATATTATAGTCACGACCATAGTTCGTATATTCTCCAACAACATTCTACCCTTGGAGATGTGAATCATATGATACAATTGATTGTCATAAATGTTGTGAGAGACACAAAGAAATTCAGAGAAACATATTCGAGAGATTTTAAGCAAAAATTTGAACAAACTCACACTAAACAAGAGATCACAGAAAACACAAACACGAGATTTAATGTGGACAAACCCGAGAACAACAAAATAAAATTATAGTCACGCCACACTAAGAAATTTTTTATGAAAAAATGAGAATAATTGTACAAATTACATCACACTCAAACCTTTTAGAGCTTTAGAATACTTGGTGACGCTTCTCCTCTCCTTAGGAGGAGAGATTGTAGTTCTCCTCTCCTTAGGACAAAAGAGATTGTAGTCGCATAACCTCCAATCAACAAAACTGAAACTTTAATCGAAGAATGACTCGAGTTTCATTACGAGTGTCTGAGCACTACGATATGGTGTTGCGGTGTAGCATCAGGGGTGATGCGATGTTGCCCTCTCAGGTTTTAAATCTAGATTGGGTGTTGTGACACTGCTATTCACAAAGCCAAAGTCTTGAATATGGGCAATGTGACGCTCCCCTCCGGGTCTTAAAGTGACATACTCTTAGGTTCTAAAACAGGATTGGGTGTTGCGTTCCGCCGCCAGGTACAGAAAAATTTTTGGGCGGCAACACCTTGACAAACTCACTGTCAAGCTTGATCTACAAAATTAAAGGCTCTTAGTGAACAATTATTGAACACATCCAGAGTAAACATAATAATAATCTCCCACTTTGAAACTGATTGCAATCAATCATCCTCCTCTAAAACTACAACATTTTCATAGTTATAAAACGTAGTGTGGCTCACCTCAGTCTCAATCTTCCTGAACTCCAACTTAAATGTGTTTTTGGAGTATCCTCAGGAAAATTTCTTGGGTATATTGCACGAAATAGAAGAATTGAAATTAATCCCAATAAAATTAAGGTGATTGTTGAGATGTCGCCTCCAAAAAATCTTCGTCAACTTCATTCTTTGCAAGGGCAGTTCATGTTCATTCGGCGTTTTATACCCAGCCGTTCTGATCGATGTCAGCTGTTCTCAAAATTGAGGAAGAAAAATGCTCCATTTAAATGAGATGCTGCATGTCAAGAGGGTTTTGATAGTATTAAGAAGTACCTCTTAAGCCTACCCATTCTCTCAACGCCAATTCTAGGAAAGTCTCTTATATTGTACACAACAACATTAGAAGAGACTCTTGAAGCTCTGCTTGCTCAACACAATGAAGAAGGAAAGGAGAATTCCCTCTATTATATCAGTCAAAGACTTACAAGAGCTGAGATGAGATATAGTCCAATTGAAAATTATTGTTTGGCGTTGATTTTCGATGCTCAAAAGCTTCGCCATTACATCTTCTCACAAAATACTCTCATCTCAAGCATTGACCCGTTGAAGTCCTTGATGACAAGACTAGCGTTGACAGGTCGCTTGTCTCGACGAGCGGTCCAGTTCTTGCAATTTGATATCACATATGTTCCTAAGAAAGCAGTTAATGGACAAGTTCTAGCAAATTTTCTTGTCGCTTATCCTG